CATGCTCACCTAATTAGCATCACTAGTTAATTACATGATCGCTTTACAAAACAATAATCACCGTGATGAAAATAACAGCAACCATGACATTGACTGGAACCTACAGTACAACCACAATCTCTGGTATTAACACAGTGTGAGCCCAACAGGCATTTTTACACAACTCAGTCTTTAACACAGGGGTCTCAGCCTCAGCTCCTGGAGCTGATCTCATTCATTACAGAACTATACAGCAGTAATAGCTCTACCAACTCACCTGGCTCTCAGAGGTGCTCTTACCATAATGCAGTGGGAGCTCTGAGTAATCAGCTGTAAGAAATACCCTAGACGTGTCTAAGACAATAATTTGGTTAATGGTTTAATTGACAGGCCAAGTGAGAGTGAACGGCCAAGGGCTTGGCGATGTGTTCCGGGGTCCCCTGCCGAAGCCGGAGTGGGGGCGGAGATCCTGCTTACCCTGCGGATGAGGTCCTCCACGTTGTCATGCGGGAAGGACCGGATGGCGGCGATGGTGCGGATCAGCCTCTCCGACAGCGAGTACTTGCTCTGGACGCTCTGCATGATGTACCACATGGTAGAGCTCATGAGGGCCGAGGGACCATGGCCCCCAGTTGAGGGGGGGAGGCAGGCAGGGCACAGGGCTGGATCCGAGGACGATCCCCACCAGGTATCCCTGGCCCACGGCACCCAAAACCTCCAGGCTCTCCCAGGATCAAACAGAATGGGTTCTAATAGAGGGCGGCAGGTTTGAGCAAACATCATCATCAGCTCTTCAGTATGTCGCAGGTCACATTTTATCTACTGCATTTCATATGTTTACTTACTTTTGAGTAGAACAAAAATGGAAATATTCAGATAATCATCAGAAATAACACTGCATGAAAGACATCAACCCATACGTAGTCATCACACACCACTCCTACAGGAGTCCACACACATTACCTGAATCTGTAAGCTCACTTCCTCACAAGCAACCTCAGCCCCTGTAACTGCACAACACTCCTTCATTCCTGAACACAACCACTCACTGCACTAAGGCTGCTTCTGGAAGAGGTGTTAGTGGGACCAGCAGAGGGTGCTCACCCTGCAGTCTGTGTGGGTCCTAATGCCCCAGTATAGTGACGGGGACACTATACTGTAAAATAAAAGACACCGTCCTTCAGATGAGACGTAAAACCGAGGTCCTGACTCTCTGTGGGTCATTAAAAAACTTTTCTCAAAAAGAGTAGGGGTGTAACCCCCGGCGTCCTGGCCGAATCTCCCATTGGCCCTTACCAATCATGGCCTCCTAATAATCCCCATCTATAAATTGGCTTCATCAATCTGTTCTCCTCCCCATTGATAGCTGGTGTGTGGTGAGCGTTCTGACGCACTATGGCTGCCAGAACATAGTGCCAGAACACCACCATGCAGCAGGTGGATGCTGCATGGTGGTGGTGGTGGAGGGGAGTCCCCATTAACTGTAAAGCGCTTTGAGTGGTATCCATAAAAGCACTATATAAGTATAAGCAATTATTATTAATTATAAGCCAATACTCCTTTACTGTGAACTCATTTATTGAATAATCTGACTGAATGGGGAATAAATGAATGACTCAATTTGTTATGTCTGCATTGAGGGGCTCAAATGGCAGCTTAAGGGCATGGATTGGTATTCTTCACACAGAACACGGAGCGATCAGAGGAGATACCAACAGCTGGACACATACTCTTACTGTAAGGCATTGGAAAGCTGTGTTCAAGTAACTGCCCCACTAACCCAGAACACAGAAAGTGCACAGAAAGATTGTTATATCAAGAGGTTATTCCAAAGGGTTCTGCACCACAGAACTGGAAAACATGGACCGAACCTGACCACTGGCACCAAAAACCCAAGAAAGGAAATTCTCTACTGTACTTTATTACAAATAAAGTCAACGTGTGCACAATTTCTTCCTAGTATTTCAAATCAAACTGTTCTTGTAATACCATGCAACCAAACTACACATACTGTTCTGCTGAGAGAGCAAGGAGAACTGCGAGCAAAGGGGAAAAAAAAACTCAAAAGAATTGAACTTCTAAAAGTGGAAGCTTTCAACAGTGGGTTTGGATATGGAAGCAGCACTACACCAGAGAACTAAAACACAAGATTGAACTTCAGCAGCTGTATCCTGCAGAAAAACCAGCACACTGAAAGTACTGCACTGTGTCCCCTGTGACAACTTCAAGTGCTCTGCTTCCCAGTACTTGTTGCATTTTGAAGCTTTATTCTTTCTCCACAGTGTTATGCATTGCAGCTTTTGTGTGTTCTGGGCAAAGGAACACTTCCCATTCATCCATCCATCGTCAATAACTGCTTCAATCCTCAGTTTCGTTGAGCCCCAGGAGCACAGAGGCAGGGGTACAGAACTCGCTATCTACTAAAGCACTCGTTGTTTCCACAGCATCACGCTGAAGCCCTGTTATCAAGGCAACAGTACAACATGGACACAAAAAGTGCTATTATTCTAAAATGTTTGGGTCTGTATGTGCAGAAATACCCAGAAATAAAAGGTGGCATGCTGTACTTTTGCCCCATCGTCATCTTTTCATCTCAAATCCAAAATGCTTGAACAAAAACACAGCAAAAATAACAATTTGACCCCACTGCCTCAATCCTTATACGGGGCACTGCATTGCAGTTCTAGGGTTGTTGCTGTGTCAATAATAATAATCATCATCTTAATAAAAGCTGAGTTAAAAGCCGGCAAACCGTTGTGTGTTGAAACTGCTGTGGGTCTACTACACCGGTGGAGTGCAGTGCCCGAAGGCCCGGGAACACTTAGCTCTTGACCGTGAACGCCGTTAGGAAAGCCCGGGGATTAGCCTTAGAAGCCACGAGCGGCCTTGCGCTCCACTCAACAACTCATAAACACAAATATTTCCCCCCAAACCAAGCGAGACTTCCTCAAACCCCGGACCTGTAACAGACATTTAGGCGTGCTGAACAAGTGTTGGGCTCGGATACATTACTGTCAAACAAACCGAAATTATTTCCTTATTTGTCAGCCACCAACAACCCTCCCAGCCCCGCCGCAAAAAAAAAAAAACGATATTACCCCCAGGAGCAGCGGGGTAATTGCATCCGAGGGGGAAAATACCACTCTGGTTCACGGCGAAACCGTTTTAGCTACAAACGTCAAGTTCAAACCGCAGCCTGTTGCTGAGTTTGTCAACAAAAGAAGTCAATATCGCGCTAAACTCGCCGGCATTTTTATTTTCGCTTTCGCAAAACATCATTTCTCGAGAGTCTCCCATCTTTGATTCCTGACAGCCTAACCACCGCGTATATTTTGTCTCCTCCTCAGATCGATGCATTAAAAATGCATCTCATATTTTAATGGGGGCCGTGCGTATATATGCACATATGTGGTGAATGGGTTTGGTAACCTACCTCCGGATCCCAAGAAAACGATACCGGCGAATAGTTCCTCGATACGAGGAAGCGTCACAGCCTGTAAGATCACGGTCTGTCACTACAACACCTCCCGGGAACACAGCAGCAAGTCCTGCTCCGAAGAAATAACCCAGCTGAGGCGAAAACTGGGTATTCCGAGACCGCTTGAGGAAAGGAGACAGGAAGCGGAGATTAAAGAGAAGCGAACAAGTGAACCTGTGAGGGAGGAAGGGGGCGGATTATTATTTTTTTAAAAAAAAAGGTTGTTAAATGGTTGTTTTACAATTCGCCATGGTGCTTATCGACAGAGAGGGAGATCAAAAGACGACTGTGTCCGGGTGCAGAGAAAGGAAATACGTGTTTAGATGTTCTTCTTACCTTCGCGCAAGGGACAAGACGTGAGACGAGTTGGAAGACTTTCAGCGAAAACGAAAACAGCGGGTGAAGAATGCAATCCCCCTTTCGGTGGTTTTGGATCGAGGTGATCAAATCAAATTAGATGGCTTACAGGTAAAGAATTGGTGTAGGAGTTCCGGGGCTGCCCTCCTTCTCCTTGCAGGACGGTGTACTGCAACGCCCGCCGGAGCGGTGGGTGTGCGGCTCTGTGCCCCGCTCCGGGCGCATACCGGAGAGCCGTCCTTACCCAAATATAGTCCTGTTCCTTGGCGCTCCTGCGCCGCAGCGCGGCCGGGACACACAGAGGGGCTGGAGGGGCCGGGGCTAGACCTCGCCTGGGTGACGGTTGTTTCTGTCAGTCCAGAAACATGACACCGTCACGGAGGAACCCGAAGGCGCCGGATTTGAAAACGGGAAGAATTCCCGTCTTTTCATACTGTATTAAGGATGGGGGACGACGGCGACGACAAAACTTTCACGATGGCAGCGATAAAGAATGTCCTTCCGGTTTGTTTTTCCCCTTAAAATGTCAACCATATAAACAGTTCGAAAGCAATACATGTGTAATATATATATATACACCAGGTGTACAATTTGTATACACCAGGTACAGTCTCTACAGTATATATAATGCCAGGTGTAAATTGTGAACGGTATATACGCACCAGATGTAGTATACAACATACATACACCAGGTATACAGTATATATACACCAGTTGTACACTATACATAAAAATATACACCCAGGAGAAACCTACATAAACCCTGTCTGTACAAACCCCACACAGACACCACCTCAGAACTGACCCCACGGCCCCAGGGCTACAAGGCAGCAGTGCTAACCACTGTGCCACAGTGCTGCCCCCCCTTGAACTCTTGCTATTTATAATCATAGGCACCCAAGCATTTTTACACAAGACCCTAAGCATGGGGTTACCTAACCGAAGGATTGTGTACAGTGTATATATACACATTTCCTACAATAACGGAGGCACAGATACTAGAAACTACATGGCAAAAAAAAACAGTACATTTGCAGTTTTGTTTTATTATTTTTTTATTTTTTTTTAATTGTTCTTGAATATCCCATAGCACCTTGGCAATGACATTGACAGAATCAATAGGACAGATCCTACATCTCCTCCCATTCTGCATCGAAAGCAAAGCCTTGGTCACCCACCCAACCCCCCCACTCTGGACATCAGGGTACGAAGGCGGGGTGTAGCCAAGTGGGACAGACAGGTGGACTGGTCCCAACCAGAGAATTGTCTCATCTCACTCCGTCACAGGGCTGCTGTCCCAGTGGAGAGAACAGTACACCCCTCGAGCGAGCCAGGCAATGTTTGCAAACAGTGAGAGGACGTTTTTAGGAAAAAAAGAAATCCAAACAAGTTTTTACAGTGGTTTTCCAACTAACAGTCCAACCCAAAAAAGGGATTTTCCAAAATTAAAAACAGTTTTACTTTTTAGAATGTTTTCTCCCCCCCCCAGTTTCACATACCTGATATCTCCCCCCCACCCCTCGCCACCACTCTGATCACTTAACTTTGGTTTTGAGAGATTTACACACAAGCGGGATTCCCGAATAGAACTCCGGAAATCCAGATCCAAACATCCCAGACACAGAGGACACCTGGAAAGGCAGCACACAGAAGCAGGCTGAGGTACTAGCAAGGTCCCCGAGACACAGGAATTGGGGAACCCCGCAGCCTTAAGGGGGTCATTCGCCAGAAAGCTTGCTGTAATGGACTGCTCAGTGTTTGAGGAATCGCTGACAAGATAGCATAGGTCAATAAAGCATATTTATCACTAGTGATCTGCAATGCGTCTGGATGCGGATCCAGTGTGACAACACCGAGGCCCAGCAACAGCTAATAAAGATCCCAGTGATTGTGAATGAGACCCCTCCAATCCCAGACTGCAAGAATTCCCAATTTTCCAACCCGATTTCATCTCCAGCAGCATACATACATATCATAATCAGACGCGTATCTCAAGCCTTTAAATCGCTGAGAAGCTCAGTCCCAGGGCCGGTGGCGTTGGAGGGGAGTGATGATTAACAGCTGCTGCTGCTGCAGTCGGTGCCGACAGGACAGCTGACCAACGTCTCCTCGGAGGGACGGAGCTGCAGAAGAGGGCTCAGCAGCGCCCTAGCAATCAGCGGCACAGCCAAGAGCTCAAACACGGAGCCTCCCGAACCCGATTCTGGAGACCTGGGAACCGAAGAACTGAGAGACACCTTCAGGAAGCATGAAGCCAAACTAGCCAACAAGGATGTTGAAGCTGGCTCCCTTCTGTGCTCCGTGTTTTGCAGCAGTCGCTCGTCGTCATCAAATCAAGTTCAGATGCTTCAACGCAGTGTGCGCACGTAACAAACAGAGAGGTGTCAATCTGGTACAGAAATTCTGAATTTCAACCTATAGGCGTTTTTTTTTTTAACAGAGAAACAGTTTTGAGATCCATTTCAGTTTTTACTAATTTCACATGATCGTGCCCAAATTTACACAACAGCAAAACGGACATGGCTACAGCCAGTCAACACACAGGATCAAACCTCCCCTGGGCTCTCTGTGCCAAAACACTGATATGACGACACAGTTCAAGAAAGAAAAACAGCCCCAATCAAAGCACAGCTTTCAATGTACACACACAACTGATCCACAAAATAAGAAATTGTTTGGAAATGCTAAAGCACAGATATTTTACTCCATTTTGCAACAGAAAGCCCTTTGATAATGGATAAAAAAAAAAAGAGACAAGACCACGACCCACGTCCGCCTGGACTGACAGACCGGCGTCAGTGCCCTCCTCATCCTCTCCCGCCTGTGTGCATTGCCCCCAGTTAAGGAGGTCCGGTGACTCAGCCTGCTGGGGTTCGAACGGCGTTTTGTCACTCAAATGAAAAGGTGGTGAACGAGGGTTTCAACCACAGCCAGCTAACAAGCCCTAACCTTGAGCAAATTTCCCCAGATCAGCCACACTGGCAAGGAAGGAGAGGAAACCACCTCCAGCCGAGCTCGCGTTTTCACCACAGGGATACGAGAAGCCCTTGTAGCAAGGGGCGAAGAGGACCGTCGTGGGGAACTCTCTCCAGCTGTCTAACCCTCAGGCTTACTCCCTGAGCAGAGACGTTCACTGCGGGGGCTGGTTTAGAATATACATATGCAGAAATGTACGAGGATGACTATCCCCCGACTTTACCTCTGATGGGCGTGGAGCCAATACAGGAGGGTGTCTTTTGATTTGTAAAGTGATCTCTATTCCTATTCACAGTAATGAAACCATCACCAGACTCGACGCACAGAGGGAACGAGAGAGTCTGGTTAACAACAATAATGTGAGGTTAAGTATACTGCCAGATGTTTATCTGACACCTTGCTTAAAAACAAAAACAACCATGTTCATAGCCTCAATTTGCTCAAAATCCTTTTTTTTTTGCAATCTCTGCAAATTTAATATTTAACATATGTACAGTAGATAAATTTAAGAACTCTAACCCCCCCCCCCCAAAAATAAGTCTAGGAACACAGCTTTTGCAATCAACAGAAATATTATACACTTGCCTTTTTTTTTACAATCTTTAAAAATAAAGATTTTGAAGTTTATCATTAGGATGAATCAAGTACTATGTACTGAGCTTTTTTAATTTTCACACACTGTGTAACATTAACATTATTATTAACGACAAAAAAAGTAAAAAACCACACAATCCCCACATTCTGAACAGAGGGCTGCGCTCGAGCTGGTCGACTTAGCTGTCCTTGGTCTGCTACACACACACCCACCACTAGAGGGCAAAACTCACCGCTCGGAGGCAATTACGGTCATTCTGACTGCCACAAATTTATAAATTGACAAGAAACAATCACTCAGCCAGCACAGTTTACAGGCCAACCTCACACGCAGTCCTTCCTGACCTTCTTCCAACAGGCACATTAAGTGCCGTTATTGATCCTGGTGATTAAATAATGACGAAGGAGATGGTGGCAACATCCTGCGGCAGAGAAGGGCCGGGTCATGAGAACCCATGCTCTGCCTTGAACAAACCCTTTCATCCCAGCACTGTAAAAAGCACTGTCCAGATTCAACCTCGACAAGGGGATTGCATACACAAAAAAAAAACAGACAAATAGCAAAACCCTCAACTTCTATTTTATATATATATAAAAAAATCTTTAAAGGGCAATCGTTTCACTCCCGTGAAACAATGGGGTGTGGCAGTAAATAATCGCGTGTGGTCAAGACTTCCAGCTCTCCCTCCTGTCCCTGGAGGCTCAGGGAAGAGTTAGGAATGGGGCTCTGTTGACTGACAGACAAGCTTGTTCACTAGAGAGCTAATGGAGACACACTGGCCTCATTAATTGCCCCGGCTGCCGTGCTTGGGTGGAGAGAGATGAGATGGTGGAGTCTTTGGTTTTTTTTACTTCCCAAACCCCCGGCACAATGCCGACCCCCTGTGATGGAAAGGGAGGGAACTCTCTCCTCTTAAGTAATGACATGAACCAAATCGCTCGCAGCAATCTTAAAAATAATAAAAACGCTAAATGAAATATAACTAAAACCCCACTTTGAAGCTCTTGGCACATGCCCCTGACCCAAGTACTAAAAAATGAGCTCGCTTGCATTACTACTAATCATGAGGGACAGACAGCCCCAGTCCTGGAGGGCCCGGTTCCAGCCGAGTTTGAACTAGCACCTGATTTCGACCTGGCTAAACAGCAAACTTCTCTGATATGCCCAATTGATTCAATTAAGTCATTAAGGTTGGGAAATGGAACGAAAACCAGAAACGGGCATGATAATCCAGGATCTGAATTGGCAGTCCGTGCCAGCAGACACTGATAACTGCCTCTCCACTGCATGGCGGGTCAAATCCAGTTCAGGTTTTACAAACTGAAGGCTCCTGTGCATGTCTCTGTGCCACTGGAGCAGTATGTGCGTGTCAGCCAGGTGTCCCCCATTCTGGTGTTTTTCCACAACAGCTGGACGCTCAATGAATCAATCCAGTCATGATCTGATTTAACTGGGACCAATTAAACGTCTCTCCACTGTTCAGATACTTGACCTGGGATCCCTGCAGAAACACCTGCCCTGTGGGACCAAGACTGGTGACCCCACGACCCCCCCCCCCACTTTCTTTCTGACAGCACACATCTATGCAAATGCTGAAAAAAATGAGCTTGTACTATGCATCTTGATGGCTTGCACAAGAACCTGCACCTGCAGATATTGGGCTGAAACAGCTATTCCATAGCAGTCTAACTCCACCTGCAGGAGAGCATGGTGAAATTCTTTGCAGTGTTTCTTGGGCCAAGCACCAGGGCATTTCACCAGGCCATGAAACTCAGAAGCCCGGGGGGCTCATGAAACTCATCAGGCGGTCTCAGCAGGAACATGCTGACGTCTCCCTGGCTTCTGAGGAGGAGTGAGAGGTATAAGAGAAGCAGTAAAGAGAACAAGGCAATGCTGTTCTACAGATTCAGGCACAGAGGTTCCCCATCTTCTATTTAGCACTGAGCTACTATACACACTGCTGTACCGTCACACACTAAGCTGGTGCACAAACTGCATTCAATTAGATACTAACAGCAGATGCACTTACACCCGCGGTACTGAACAGAGCCAGGATCAAGTAAAATACAGGTCAAATAAAACAAGCACATGGGAAAAACTGCTTTCATTAAAGCATCTGGTTTATTAAGATTTCTAGAAGACAGCGGCTCCAACTCCCGCAGCCCACTGTAAACCTACCCCCCTCCCCCCACCCTCAAATCCCTGTACAGACAATTCCTCAAATTAAAAAAAAATCCTACCACTGTGAATTCAGCAAGCCTGTCATCTTATAACACTTGCAGGTCTAAAAATTACATTGATTCTATTTTTTAACAAGTTAGTGCATTTCAAATCGATTACCCAAGGTCACTAGCTACTTATAAAAAAAAATAAAACAGCCCCAGTGTTTTCTTTTTTTGTATATGGACCTATGCACTGCAACACCCACACAATCCACTGACTGAATACTAGCTACTGCACAGCCCTGGTCTTGGACCATGTGTTTTCAGACTGAAACAGACCCCACTCAACAGCTGTTTGATTTGATTCACATTTGATTGGCTCCAGGATACCTGCAGCAGACTCCACCAAACAGGATATCAAGCCAGGAGACTTGAAAACGCACCTTCCCAGGTCTAGGTCAACTTTCTAAAAACAAGGCATCCAGATCCGAAAGAATCCAGCACCTTTCTTTACACCCAAGTGTCCGGCAGCAGGTAAAGGAACTGTTCAGTGGGAGTCTAGTCCACAACACCCAGGGATGTTCGCAGAAGTCATCGCCAATTACATATCCGCAGGGATCTGGGGAAAATCGCCAGCACAAACAAGGCCGACGGCGTTCCAGAAAACCTGCACTGAACGTCCTTGATTAAAATAAATAAATTAACAAAAACAACATGAATAATATGCAATACAAGGAATCAAACGGCAGTAAGCCTTGCAAAAGCCTGACCTCTTCAGTCTCGTTATCTCCTTCAAAGCAGATGGGGGGTGGGACTGGGAGAGGGGGGTAAAACCCTCACCCACACCTTATATCAGCACATTTGGTAGTACAGGGCAGAGCACCACCTAGTAAAGTACAGAATGGCACCCCTTCTCTAATCTCAAGTTGTGTGGCTAGTCATCGGAAATGCTTGGGTTCCAACCCCACTGCTCTAACTTCCCACTGCTGAACCAGCTGCTGCCAGAACACAAACGAACGAGGACGTTTCCGATTTCACAGCCTCACACGAGTTTCTCAGTTCTGCCCTCAGTCGCCTCTCGGGGGGAGACACACCAGCTCACACCTGTGATCCGCTGGAGGGAGCTCCAGTTCGGTCACGCTGGATCACGTGGACAGGCAGCACCGACTGGGGAGTCAAAACCTCCCAGCTCTCTTGTGTTATTTCACCATAAATCTTCCAAAAAGCTTTACTAATTATTTGGCTCAGTCTCCTCCCCACTCAACCACCAAGTCGTTTAACAAATGCACTTCATTCAAGTATAGTACCTACCAAAACTACTTGGAGCACGAACTACAAAAGAAACGGCTGGTCCTCCTGAAAATGGATTTTAATCCCCTGGGATCAGACAGGCCAGATCTTTGCCATGTATGCGCATTGAAGCCTGGAAGATGCTTCAAAATGCTTCCACCCTAGCTATCTCCTCTTCATCCCAGAGGAGTATTCCTACAGTGACTGCCGCCACTCTGACGTAAAGGTGGTGTTTACACTAACTTTAAGGTGCCAAGTGTCCAGTAGGGGGAAAACTGGAAGATGGTGGACTCACGCCTATGAATGTCAACATCAGGGCAGAGTGACATGCTGGGAAGGGATGACAAACACCACCCAGGCACACAGAAATCTCTGTAGCAGCAGGAGTTCCCCAGATCACCTACATCATTGCTTTTCAGTATAAAAATAAAGCAGCACCCTGGACTGACCCAGTCTTGAATGCAAGTTCAATCCTATACAAGCTCTGAGACTGAAGACACACCACTAGCTGACTGACTGGGATTCTCTAAGTGCTGTCAGGAATAGGGATGAGATCAGTCAGCCAGCGCTGATCAAAGTCCATCTTTTGGTGAAAGAGGCAATGACATCCAAACCAAGCTCTTGCCCCCCAGGCAGAATGGAGGCTGCAGCGTATCCAGATGTGTCAGAGGAGCACGCCTGCTCACTCTCAGTCTCCCCGAAAGCAAATTCCTGATGTCACAAGAGCACCAAGAAGAAGCTTGCATGCTTGAAATGACCAGTCTTCCCCCCTCACCACATTCCCCACGATGCCCACTGCTACAAATTTGCACCAGCACGTTTCTGGTGCCTTTCTGGAAGTTCTCCTGCCAATTCCTCAAAGCAAAATGAATTTGAAAATCTTTGCTAAAAGCGATTCTCAAACTCCCGTCCTGACAGCTGGGGAGGCTTGTGCCCATGGTTATGGTTATCGGTATCGTGACTTCTCTTATCCTCACAGGAACAGGGGACCGGTGGCTGTCTAGTTTGAGATTCTGCTACAGCAGAGTTGTCAGTGGTCTCCACTGGACAGAAGGTCAGCACTGACCGACCACTGTCGCTGCCCAACTGTAGGGACTACAAGATGCGTTCCCAGCCAGCTGCACTGAGTTCATTACCAATATGCTGAAACAGTTCGACATCATACAGATCAGGCACTTCATAATCTCACTATACCCCACCCCAGAAAAACAAACCTCCCTCCCTGGTGTTCAACCATACGCTCAACTGTAAATGCAACTGCATAAAACTCTACAGGACTATCAACAAGGATTCTGCTTGATGCAGCCACGCTGGTCTTTAAACATGCCACTCCAACACGATGAGTTCCCTCCTGCTCAGTTACTCAACAACCAGTTTGGATTTTATCTGTGCCAAGATTCCCAGGAAACCATACAAGGAAAAGAGGCAACCGTGCCTTCGTACAGGAATGTCTTGCTTGGGCAGAAGACAGCAGGAGTGACCGATTTCCCCCCCTTCGGCACCAACCCCCCCACCCTTGAAGTCAATCAACACCCCTTAATACAAAGGCTGCTGTTATACAGGACCGCAAATAAAAACAAAATCACCTCAGCAAGGTCACCACTCTGAGGTCAAACGAGCAAGTGCAGCAAAAGATTCTTTCTGATAAATAAATAATCCATGACAATGCCCTCAGGCGAGGATCAAGGAATTTTGT